CTTCATAAAATGATTTGGGGAGAGTTCCATCATTCTTGATTGCCTGGAATAATTTCAATGAGATTGGAATCAGCTCCTTCTCATATGTTTTGGAGAACTTTGCTGGAAAGTCATCTGGTCCAGGGCTTTTTTTTTTTTTTTTTCGTAGATAATTTTCTTATGACATAGTTGATTTCCTGGGTTGTTACTGGTCTATTCGGGGTCTCAACTTCTTATTTCAACCTGGGGAGGCTATGTGGTATCAGAAGGTCTTCCATTTCATTCAGGTTTTCAAGTTTGTTTCCATACAAATGCACATAGTAATCTCTGATATTCTTTTGTATTTCTTCAGGGTTAGCTGTGACTTGAGTTTTTGCATTTCTGATGTGTTTATTTGGGTTTTCTCTCTCTTTTTCTTGGTCACTCTAGCTAGGTGTCCACCAATCTTGTTTATCCTTTCAAAGAACAAACTTTTTGTTTCATTGATTGTTTTGTATTATATTTTTGTCTTCTATGCCCCAAACTTGGGCTTTTATATGGTGATCTGGATTCTTCTGCCCAAGTTAAAGTTTTAATGGTCTTGCTTTTCCAGCTTCCTTAGGTGATTTATTAGGCTGTTAACTTGTGATCTTTCCATTTTCTTCATGTGTGTTCACAGAGACATGAATTCCCTCTTAGTACTGCTTTCAAGCCATCACAGAGATTTTGGTAAGATGTTTCTACATTTTCATTTGTTTCCAGAAATCTTTTAATTCGTTTTGATTTCTGTGTTGATCCAGGAGTTGTTTAGCATCATGCTGTTTAGTGTCCAAGTCTTTGTTGGTTCTGGGGGAATTTGGTTGGTGTTGATATTTATTTTTATTCCACTGTGGTTTGAGAAGATGCACAGCAGTATTTCAGTCTTATGAAACTTGTTTATGCTTGATTTATGGCCAAGGATATGGTCGATCTTAGAGTATATTCCATGTGGTGATGAGTAGAATGTATATTCCATGGTCATTGGGTGAAGTGTTCTGTAAGTATCAATTAAGTCCATTTGGTCAAGTGTCAGGTTGAGGTTCCAGATCTCCTTGTTGATTTTTTGCCTTGATGATCTATCTAGGGTTGTTAGTGGGGTATTTAAGGTCCCAGCTATGATAATGTTAGAGTCAATATCTTTTTAAATTTACTTAGTAGCTGCTGTATAAAAGCTGGTGCTCCTGTGTTTGGTGTATATATATTTAGGATGGATATTTCTTATTGATGAATTGAACCTTTTATCATTATGTAGTGTACTTCTTTGTCTTTTTTAATTTTTGATAGCTTAAAGGTTATTTTGTCTGATATTAAGATTGTGACTCCTGCTTTCTTTTGTGTTCTGTTCACCTGAAAATTTGTTTTCCATCCTTTAACTTTGAGTCTGTGTGTGTCCTTTCTGGTGAGATGCATCTCCTGAAGACATGTTACATCATGTATTTTTTAATCCAGTTTTCCATCCCATGCCTTTTCAGTAGTGCATTTAGTCCATGTTCAGGCTGATTATTGAGATGTGAGAGTTTATCCCTCTCATGAAGTTCTTAAAGACTTTGCTGTTATTTGCTTATTTGTTTGTTGGTTTTCTTAATATTTGGGGGATTGATTTATGTGTGTTTTTAATTTTACAGTCATGATGCATGCTTTATTGGTTCCTTGTATTCTTGCATTCTTGGGAGAAACTTGGTTGTTGTTTTTTTTTTTCTTTTTCTTCTTATGTGCTTAATACACTCTTAAACATCTCTTGTAGAGGTGGTCTGGAGGCAGTATACAGTCTTAGGGATTGAATGTCTGGGAAGGATTTTAATTTTCCATCACTGATAAAGGTTAGCTTAGCTGGGTAGGAAATTCTTGGTTGGAATTGTTTATCTTTTGGTATTTTGAAAAATAGACTCTAGGATCTTCTAGCCCACAGTGTTTCTGTAGATAAGTCTGCTGCTCTTCTAATTGGTCTTTCCCAGCAGGTAGTCTGACCTTTCTGTCATGCTGTCTTTAGGATTTTTTAATTGTATACCTACTTTGTGTAAGCTAATTACTATTTGTCTAGGAATTGATCTTCTCATTTGGTGCCTTGCAGTGGTTCTCTGTATCTCTTGTCTTAGGATTGTTGCATCTCTGATGAGATGCAAGAAGTTTTCTTGGATGACCTCTTGGAATGTTTGTTCCAGGCTGCTCTCATTCCCCTTATCTTCAGGGATACCTATCATTCTTAGGTTCAGTCTCTTAATATAGTCGCAATCTCCTGAAGGCTTTGTTCCATCTTTTTAAGCTTCCTTTCTAAGTTTTTAACAGATTGGGTTAGTTCCAGATGTTGGTCTTTAAGTAATGAGATTCTTTCTTCTGGCTGGTTAATTCTGCTTTCCATGCTTGTCAGTTTATTATTTCATTTACTGTATTCTTTATAGTTTGTATCTCAGCCATTAGTTCTTTTATATTTTTGTCTTGATTTTCTTGGTTCTTGTTCATCTTTTCCAATCATTCCTTGATCTCTGCATTTGTGCTCTGACATCAGTGAATCTGGGTGCTCTTCATTGTTTGAGTTCTGAAGTATGTATATTTGTGGACTATCCTCTTTGGATTTTGTGTGGTGCCTGTGGTTCTTCTTTGACTTTTCTTCATTTGTGGTGGGTTTTTCTTTTTTCCTTACTTCCATTGCTCAGTGAAAAAATTAGTAGTTTTCACTTCTTTATGCTCAACCCCCTATTCTACCTTGAATACAGTCTCTGGTCTAGTTTGTTTTTGAAGCCAGGTTGGGGAGAAGGGAGCTGTGTTACTCCCTTACAGATTTATGATTTGAATGAGTTGTGTTAGGGGCTGCTAAGATTCAAAAGCTGTCTGACAATCACAATGTTTGCTGATTGGTGTGTGGGCCCCCAGGGGTCCACTTCTCTCCACCTTACAGTATGTCCATACAACAGGAGCATATGTATCTCTCCTGGGTACAAAATAACATGAGGGAAGGGAAAGGAGTTAATAGAGAATGTGGAGGGGATAACAATGGAGAGAACAAAGGAGAAGGAAAAATACAAACTGACAAGAGGGAGGCAAGCAAAAAGAGAGAGAAAACAAAAGAGGGAGGGAAAGTAACTAAACCAAAACAGGAACAAAAAAGAAAAAGAAAAACAACAAGCAGCACACAAACAACAAAAACCCCCAAAAAACTAAACCAAATAATATGAGGAAATTTTCACTCTCATATATACCCTTATTGGAAAGAAATAAGAAAGGGTAAAACAGAATGAAATACCCACTCCCAACAAGCTATTTTTTTTTTAAGTATGTAGAATAACGAAAATACAAAAAAAATTTTTTTGTAATCCTTGAGCACTCTCTTTTGGCAGTTTCAAGACTTCAGGTTTCTTGTAGGCATGACCCAAGCACTGCTTCTCTTACCTTGCAGCAGAGGGGATTTTGGAAGGGAGGAGTTTCTGACTTCTACATCTGTCCCCGTTCACCCCATGTGGTTCAGGGGAGGCTGGAGGGTGTCCCCAGCTGATCCACCTATGTTTAGCCCTCTCCGTGTGTGCTGATCAGAATGTTGTCCACCTGAGTCATATGTCTTGCAAATCACTGGGGAAAGGGTGCAGGGTCACTTTAAAACTCACCACCACTCATCTGCTATGAGCTGGGGCTGGGTTCTTAGATTACAGTGCAGACAGAAAATGTTTCAAATTTAACCTCTGTTCACCCCATGCAGTTGAGGGAAGGCTGTGAACTGCACCCAGTTGATCTGCTTTTGTTCAGCCCTCTCCACAGTGCTGCTCAGGATGTTGCTCACTAGAATCATATATCTCGCAAATCACTGGAAAAACGAGTGCTGGGTCACTTTAAAACTCACCACCACTCATCTGCTGTGACCTGGGGATGGATTCTTCAGCTGCAGAGCTGCAGCAGCAGACTGTAAATGCTTCAGTTGGGGGATGGGGTATCTGGGCCTCCTTGCCTGGGACTCTAGATGGGTTTCTCTGGTATATTTTCTCACAGTTCCTGTTGCTGGTGTCTGATCTAGGACAAAGACTGCAGCAGCAGGTGGCACTGGCCACAAGTGATCCTCACCGTTGTATTCTTTTTTTCCCCCCTTTCCCGGTAGGGCTGCAGAGATGGTGCCTGCTTGTGGGCTGTAGAGCACACCGGGGTCCCAGCAGCTGCACAAGGCAGCTGTCTAAGCAGGAGAGCTCAAGTCTCTCCTTCCCATGTCTCCACTCAGTCAGACATTCACACAAACTTTGCCAACACCCTAGGGTGAATACTCATATCTGCACCCATTCTTTCATCTGGGGAATCATGCACTCCGACAGCCTCTGTTACCATCTTCAAGTAGAACTTCTTTATTCAGATTAGGGAGGCCCAATGCTGGAGCCAAGGTTAGGAGTTTTTCAAGGATTTGGAAGGTCTCCTGGCATTCTTTTGTCCAGTCCAATGTTGAATTTTCTTATCCTTGTGTTGCTGCATATAAGGGTTTAGCAATAAGGCCAAAGTTGGGTATCCAAATTCTGTAAAATCCAGCCACGTCCAGAAAGGTTATAAACTGTTTTTTGCTTGAGGGGGTTCTAAGCTTAAAATAGTCATTTTACATTCTGTGCCCAAGGTTCTTTCTCTTGGCGTCAAGATGTACTCCAAATATTTTTTAGACTGTTTAGAGGTTAGTACTTTTAAGGGGAAGACCCAATACCTCCTTTTGCCCAGAAAGTTGAGGGCTCAGGTAGTATCGATAAAGTAGGCAAGTAAGTCTAGGAAAACTTCAGGCTATAGAAAACCAGGATCATCAATGTCTACAGCAGTTGGTGCACAATCAAGCATACAAGCAAATGGCCTAGCTGGAACAAATTTTACACCTTCCTAACTATGAGGCCCTTATCAGATAAAACTACAGCAAGCAAGCGGCCTAGCTGTAAGAATTCCATACATATGCTACTGCTAGACTCTCAGATACACCTACAAAACTAACCAGAACACCTATCTAGAATGCTTACTGCTAGACTCTCAGATACACCTACAACACTAATCAGGACATCTACTAACCCGATACACCTATGACACTAACCAGGACATCAATGCAGAATGCTTGCAGTCAAAAGCAGAACACCAATGCAGAAGCCAACTTAGAAATCTTCCCTCTTCCCCGGAGCATGCTACTTACATCAGTGCTACAGATAAACGTATCATCTACACGTTGCAGAACAGCTCTTTCTGGTACTGTGGAGTCACCAAAATCTGTTACCATCGTTTGGTGTGATTGGAGTCAGGTTCCTGTGTCCTTATTTGAAAAGAATTCAGACACAGGACAAGAGGAAGTAATAGCCAAGGTTGACCTAAGATAACCATAAACCTTCACTATAATACTATCAGCATGAAGTTACCCTAAGGGAGTCTCCCACTCCCATCGTACACCTGATGCCATGACGATACCGTATTTCAGAACAGATCCTGTTACCTTGGAGTCACTGAAATCTGTTATTGGTATTTGGTGTGTTCAGAGTTGGGTTTGTGTTCTTGCTTGGAGAGAATTCAGTCATAGGACATGAGGAAGTAGGACATGCAGGTTATTTATTGAAAAAGCAAGAGTACACTCCCCATAAGAGAAAGTGAGAAAGACAGTTTAAGAAGAGCTGCTGCCCTGAGTTGATGCTGGGTTACAGCTTTTATTGGGGAGGACGAGGTTGGAAGGAGTTATCTTATAGGGCTGGGGTGGTCTCATGCAAATGTTCTAGACATGTGTATATTCGTTTCTAATGTTAGAGATGCTGCCTCTACTTGGGAAGCTTACATCTGTGCTGTTTGTTTTTTGAGGTCTTGTGTATGTCCCATTTGCTGAAATTGTCCTCCTTGACCTAGTGCCCCCAGTAGAGGGGTTATCTTGGGTCAATTTGGCTATTGGTGCACATGCACCAAAGGATTTCCAGATAAACTCCTGTATTGTGGGTTCTTTACAAGCATCCTGAGAAAGGGGATGTGGGCTGCTGCAGGTGTTGTCTGTAGCAAGCTTTGAATTTTCCCACACAGCCCTGAAGTTTTCCTACTATAATCATTTCCTTTTTTTTTTTTGAGTTGGAGCCTTACTCTGTCGCCCAGTCTCGACCTGCTGGGCTCCGGCAATACTTCTACCTCAGTCTTCCAAGAACCTGGAACTACAGGCACTCGCTACCATGTCCGGCTAATTTTTGATTTATTGCAGAGACGGGTCTTGCCAAGTTGCCCAGGCTGGTCTCAAATCCACGGGCTCAGGCAATCCACTCACCTTAGCCTCCCAAAGTGCTGGGATTACAAGCTGAGCCACTGAGCCCAGCCTGCTCAATTTCTCTTATCTCCCACAAGGGCAGTGCCAAAAAGGTGAAGATGGACTCTAAAGTCCTGTGGTAACACTGTCCATGTATATGGTTAGGTCCAGGTGGAGGAGTATAGTGTCTGTAGAAGCAAGGGGAGGTCTGGGCAGGGAAAGAAGTCAGAAGGTGGAGAGGGGTGTCCCTGCAGAGGGATGGCGTGTCACCAAACCACGAGGGAAAAGACCCAGGGCAAAGGCAGGGCTCAGTTAGGCAGGGGCGGTGGAAATAGGCCTGTCACCCAGCCTGCCCAGGCACCTGGAGGTTCCATGACATTCCAAAGGCCCAGCCCAGGCAACTGGCACCTCTGCCCTCCGCCCAGCTGTGGCCCGGTGCAACAATGTATTTCTTTTCTTTTTTTTTTTTTGAGTTGGAGTCTCACTCAGTTGCCCAGACTGGAGTGC